TTAAGAAAAACAGTAAATATTAAAAATAAATACTCAAAAATTATTCTTAACTCAAAAAGCAATAAGAGTTGACAGAAAAATCTAAAAAGTTTACATTTGAACTTCAAAATATTTCGATCTCCTGCTTATCTGGTATCTCCGCCGTGACTGTACACTTTTCGTTCGCTGATTACCATTTTTTAGTGATAACATTTCTTACAATCGAAGGCATAAGTAGGGGTTTTTCGTTTCCAAAACGCATGTGATATGGGAATTTTCCAAACAATATTTCGAATTCATATTAAGAATTCACTAAATTCCGCCACAGTACCGGCAAGGTCAAAAGTATTACCAATAACATGCAACCACTTATGCAATATTCTGCAACTGCACAAAGCCACGCGAAATACCGTTGCTGGGAGCACAACTACATGGTACATATAACTGTACATATATATTTTTGCTTGTGCTCAAGCGCCGCATGCCTACACCAGCTCAATCCAAATCAAAAATCAGCAGTCAAAACAAAACCGACGGTCGTCATGGTAATCCTTAACCATAAAAGGGACATAAACAAAAACACTATATGACTTGCCATGTCACATAAATGTAAACGTGAAGAAAAAGAAAATGCATGATAACCCAATTAGAAGCTTTATAAGCGTGTAGAAAATCAATATTTGCTACGAAAAAGTTGAAAGAAAAGGTTTAGTTGAAAATTGCTGTGTTTACTTTATTAAAAAAAAGACACTAAGTAAGTATGTGTATGTATAATTATAACTACGCATACATTTGTCTACATATGTATGTACATACATATGATATGTTTGTAGTTGCTAAATTGGCATATTTCTCTCAACAATTTTGCTTGCAACTAATGAGTATAGCGGTAAATGTGCGCAAACCGGTGTTTTAATCAGCAATATATAGACACGAATTAATATAACATATGTAGATGTGCTTGCACACAGGCACACATACATACAAATGTTTGCAACTGCATAACTACATATCTACAACAAGATTAAAAACTACAAATTACAAGTGAGCAACATGAATTTTTCATGCCAAGCGAAAATATAGAAAATAAGGTTGAAGATACGCCACCCAAAGATGCGCCGCACTACGCACACAAGCATAGGCGCATATTTGCATTAATTGTGTGAATGTGTGTGAGTTCACCCCATCGCCACGGCAATGCTGGCTGGCTGCTCATCAGCTCGAAATTTCAACGCCACTGTCAGTCGCAATTATTGCGTGTATGCGGACTACTTTTGCCATTAATTTTGTGTTTAGACACCCATACATACATACATATATGTATATATTTGTAATAATTTTGTTGTTGCTTGTGGTAAAAGCTGCTGGCTCAATTGAAAGCACTTAATAAAAATTTACAACAATTCTTCAAGAATAATATACTACGCTCTCGTAAAATGTTAGAAAATTGGAAGAGGAAGTGGGCTTGGGAGGGGGCGTGTTGTGTACAAATATAATGGCTATAAATACAGCCATATGTTTGTACATATGTAAGTATATCGCCGTGCATGTGGCATGGTTGAAACGTTTAATACGCACGCAAGTGTTGTTATTGTACGCGTTGTTGTAATATTGAAGTATTTTTGTGGTGTGTATGCGTGTGTTTGCATTACACACGGCGCGGTCGATCGCATCGCTGGCATGACTCATGCGAGTCGCGTGTATTTTTACTGCGTTTCTTTCAAAGAAAACTCACACACCAACATACACCAAGCACGCAACGTGTGTAACGGAGCAGGGCGAAAAGCCAACAACACACAACAGCATGACATAGAAAATAGAAATAATAAAGGGTGTACAAGCGCAATTACAACAATGCGTGTAGAGTTAGTTGGAAAAATGCGTCAAATTTCAATTGCTGCTGTTACGCGCGAAGCTACATAGATATGTACATATGTACATACAAGCATACATGCATACAGACGTACCCCGAAACCTTGCTATGCGTGTGTCATTTAAGGCTCGTTTTACTGTAATTATTGTTATGGTGACGGAGAGGCAGCGACCAAACGAGTCTCCTCAGATTTATTAAATTTTTATGGATATGCATATACATATATAATATATACTTCACACATACAAACCACGAACACCTTCTAGTTAAATATCCTAGTCGCAAATGTCAATCCTCACCACTAGTGGCCCGTATAAGTCACAGTAGTGCTAATCACGTGACATCATTTTAGCGCTACATCTGAAAAGGAAAGGAAGCTAGAGATGAATATTTATTCTAAATTGTCTAAATTCTATCAGAAGTAGCTATGCCGACCTAAACTATACCAAAATCATAATAGCTATTCGACAAAGCATGTGGGGGTGGCGAATCGAACATGCAACTGGCATAACATAAAGGCAAAATTTACGTAATACAGAATTTTTTTGAATAATTTAAGATAGTTTCTCTTATATAAGTTGCTATTTTTTTAAGAACATCATAAGTGAGTAGAGAGAGGTAGGGAAATGAAGACGCTAAATATTGCTTGTTGCCGCGGTTCAGATACACTTTGGGCTACATTCTGGGAACTTTTTGTGAAAAATTATCTATGTACGTACTTAAACTATGATTATATAAAAATAGTGTCATCTTTTACAATTGGCAACAACAAAAAAATTTAAAAGAGTTAAGTCCTTAAAAGCAAACATTTTGGCAAGTAAAATCTCAACTTAGAGACTAATAAGCTTGAGAAGAACCTTAAGAGTCGGAGAGCATAGCTCTATACTAAAATTAGGACTACAAAGTAGCTAAGAAAATTTTCGTGTACCGGTTAATCAAAAAGCACTCCGGATTGAACGAAGAGCACCCATGTATATTTATAAAATATTTTCGAGTTTTGTTTTCAAAACGATCTTTCATCGAAACACGCAGTTTATTTATCAAAAATATTAAATTACTTTTTAATAATAAAGCAAACTTTCACATTTAACACAAATTCGGCATAAATTTAATTTTAAACATTAGTTTCTACTACAGCCGGTCATAAAAATATGCTAACTGGAACTAATGAAATTATATGTGAGGGTTTTACGACTTCTAGTTATTGTTGTTGTCTAATTATCCCGTATACCTAGGTAATACATACTCACTATAGACCCTTAAAATAACGAGCATTTCTAGTGATTCTAAGCGCGTACACATATTTTTACGAGCGCACACATTTACACTACAAACATGTACGACTATCTCGTACCCATTTATTTTAGTTTTTTTCACTTTTCGTGCCTCGAGGGCAGAAGCGACGTCAGCAATGGCAAACCGACATGAAAAACATAAACTGCTCGCTTGATCTACAGATCTCGACACACGATCGCACACATTTGCGCTAAATACACAATTTACAACAAGAATAAAGACGCAGAAATCATTAGAATTGAGCAACACTGTCCGCTACCGGTCGAATACATTGCCGCACGTTTTACACGAAGCAAAAAAAATTAAGGAAATTAAATCGAAACGAAAAGCTTAGGGCCTAAATGAGGCCAGTTTTCTGAGTTAAACGTAATACGGACCATAATTTACAGCTGCGATGAAAATTTATTTATAAAAATAATGTAATTGTTTTCTTAATTTTATATACATAAGTATGTAGGTATACTTTTGTTTTTGCTTTATGTACCAAAAATAACCGAAAATAATGCAATACACAGTTGGTTGCTACGCCTTCCTGTTTTCTCTGGAGCTTCCCAAGCGAGAGTCGCTCGAAAGCTGCGGCGAAGTATTCTTATATAGCTAGATATATGTACGTATGTGTTTGAGTATGTTCGTAAATACAAATTTAATTTTTATTCTATATAAATATTCGTTTGTAGGTGGAGCAGCTTTGCCAATAAGCTGATGAGCGCATAATATTATAATGCGAGTATCATATTAATAAGCATTCATATGTATATGCATATGTATGCTTGTATGTGAGTTAAAAAGCGCTAAATTGGGCGCGTGCGGCTTAAACCACATTCGAGCACTGATATGTGCCATACATTCATTATAACTATATACGCGTATGTATATATATACCTATATAACTATGCCAGTATATAGTATCTGCTCTGTAATAAGATCACTCATCAGCGCACCATTTTTGTTGACTAAAATATTTTTCCACTACACATTTTTTTTAATTTCCAACTTTTTTTATGGTATAAGCATTGTCATTTGCGTCGTAAGTTCGTATTTGTAGGGTAGAATATTAAGTAATCGTCGCTAAATGCAAATTTACATGCGCAAACATGCATACATACATATGTACTTATGTATATAAATACATGCATATGGTATACTAACTAAATTATATGGGAATTATTACACGTACTTAATAAAAATTAGTTTTCAACAATTTTTTTTTTATATATTTTTTTAATATCTTTGCATAAAATAGTTTTGTTTTAATTTATAATATTCAAACTAAAATA